GAGGAAGGTGTTACAGCCCCTTGAGGCTAATTGGTTAACAGCCAGAATTGTCAAGAAGAAGGGAAGAGTTAGAGAGTGTAAAAAAATGGATGATGGATTATGTGAAAAAGGAGATATAGTTTTGTTCTGGGATTTTTGATTCCATGATGATGGGAGAGAAAGGAACTTGATTGAGAGAGGATGTAAGTAAAGAGAAAGAAGGAGGTGGGGCTAGCCCACTGTAGCCCACCTTAGTAGTGTTTATTGTTTTAATGGGAAATAGTTATTTTATATTACTGTAATGATATTTGAATATGTTCTTTATGCTAAAGCTTGAGCAATATAAACTGATTTTATGAAACTCTATTTTTCTAATAAAAATTAATTATAAAAATCCTTACAAAAGGACTGATCTCTTGAACAGCAGGGTCTGGCTAAATCCAGGAGGTGGAAAGGGTCACTAGCTATCTTTAAGAGTCCTACCTACTGAGCTGTTGTGAGTTCTAAGGAATCACAAAGCTCAGGTGTCTGTACTTACAAAGTACTGGGTAAAAGTAAAGTGTTCTTTTCAGGTCAGACTGCTGAGGTCTTGGGACTTGCCCCAGCGCAAAGGTGGTAGGCAAGTGGCCTGTCGAACTCTCTGACCGAATGCTAAGCGCCCCTTAGGGAGACAGAGTATCACAAGCCCCACCTCTCTGTTAAATGCTCTTCCCTCTCTTGGTTGTTTGCTTGCTATTGATCCGTTCAGGTACTAAGTGTGTGTGCAGTAAAGAAAAACAAAGGAGATCACAAAAGGAAGATGTTGTTTGGAACCCATGTTACCTTCTCGAATAAAATAGACCAATTACAAAAGTCAGTCCAGAGGTTTTTCTGCCTGAGGAAAAGTGCTCCCCCATTCAATATATAGACATTAGCTGGAGTGGCAGCTGAAATTTATTTCTACATTTGTGATGGAATAGGGCCCTCCACCACAACTAAGGCAGAAGTCTAATTTAGGAAGCCCAGGATAAGTTGTGAAGCCCACATAGCATTTATCTTCCACCCAAAGGAAAACAGCCAAGGAATTCAGAGGGAATAGCCAGTAGATTCTTACTGCTGTCTCTCAGTGCTGGTGTCTGAGGCAACTGGCTCACTGTGGCTAAATTGGAACCAGTCCTGATGGCTGCTTAAAAGCCTAGTCTGGAAGCACCTGCCCTGCTCTCAAAAGAAGCCAGAGCTACTAATTCATATGCCTTGCATAGCTCTATGTCATTACACAGAAAATCTACTCACAGGGGGGCTGTTTTTACTGTGGGGATTGCACATGGAAAGCAGCTTCAGCTCCAGATGTTTCATTCATTTGACACAAAACTCTTTTCACAAGAATGTGCAGATAAGCTTTTCTCAAATTATTCTTGTTGCTCGTTGGAAAAGCCTTCCTTACCTTTGTGCTTTCCAGTTCTGTTTGACTACAGCTCTCATCATTCCCAAACAACACACCGTGTTATTAGACAAGAGAACAGGAAGCAAGGGAGGATCTTCTACTATATAAGTCAATAAATATTCATATTATGATGCACTTTTCTTTCTTAGAGCAACAGTTCCAAACCTTTGGTCCTTAAGTTCTTGGATTAAAACTCCTGGAAGCTTTTATCACTAGCTATGCTGGCCAAGATTTCCAGGAGTTGTAGATCAAAAATGTCTGGAGACCCAAGACTGGGAAGCTAAATAGACAACTGGTACTCTTTGGAGCGCAGGTTTAGTTTTGCATGCTCTAGTTGCTGATTTCCAAGCCAGGTGATAAAACATTAACCAATCTAAATACGTATTCAAACCCTACGTTATTGACATGCTAATAGAAAGCAGTTACTATAATCCACTAGAAGTTACCTCCATTTCCCCACCTACAGTATATGCTGTTACATCCTGCCCCCCAACTTCCAGCAACAACCTCTTCCCACAATTACAAAAACAGCACTTACTCCTATTTTGTGGTACACGGACCTCCTGCTGCATCAGATGATGAATCCCTCTGTACTGTAGTCTCTAGTAAACCTGCTGGTATTCCTCCAAGATTGGTAGTGGACATTTCTGACACACACACCCTTCACTTGGGATCCCCACAACTTCCAGAGATTGGTATTCCATGCTATTCTTAATCTGAACACTCCCCTCCCCTTAAATTACAGTATCTCACTCAGCTTTCAAGAAAATCCAAGTGTTTTAGAAAGCCAGTCTACACACAAGAGGGAAAAAGAAGGCCCACCCACATTCTGTCAAGTTATATAAATGCTACATTTCTTTAAAAGCAGACAGACAAAATATTCAAAAGCTAGAAACAGAAATGGATTATAACTACAGACTCACCTTTTATAAGTCAAGGTGTCTACAGATGTAGTGAAATGCAATCAGTTTCAAGGGTGGAGCCTGAAAAGGGTCTCTAAGGTTCAGGCCCAGCTGCAATTTCTTTAAAGCTTTAATTTTATCTCTGCAATGCAATGCCATGGAAAGGTCCTTTATTTCATTGGCGGAGGACCTGTGATGTCAAGTGTCATAATTTCCAAGCAACATGGAGAATCATTGCAGATTATGAGAATCATATTCTCACAGCATCTGGAGGACACCACTTTCCCATTCCTACTATAAACCAGAGATGGGCAACTTGCGTTCCTTCTGAAGTTGTTGGAGTATAACCGTCACCCTTTCTCATTGGCTATGGTAACTACTAGCTAAGGCCGTTGGTAATGGCAGTCTGACAACATCTGGAAAGCCACAAGACGCCCACCCTGTTGAAAATAAATAAATCCAATTAGCACCAGCGGTAGATAGCTGAAATTCAGCAGGCCACAAACACACAACATACAGGATTTGCTCTCTAAACATTAACCCCAGCAGCGTTTCCAAGTATAATGGGAAATTTAACTAAGAGTGATGCTTAGTGTCATTCCCTCAATAAGTAGGAAGAAACATATTTTATTTAAGGTTTATGAAAAGCAAGGTAGTTGCTTTGCCTATAAGAAATGTCCTAAAATCTACGTTACTGTATCACCTTTAAGTAAACCAAAAGGGCACAGTAATAAATCCAAACTTAACAGGCTTGTCTAGCAGGTGGTTCAGTGGTTTTAGATTTCACCTGAAGTTCTTTGGATATTTGCAGAGACCTCTCTGGCCCCATTGGAACTCATGACTGAGATTGTGCAGACATCATATATTAGTTTCTTCGACATTTGACATCTTCCTGTTCCTCCCCATAGTTTTTTACAACATACTGTATTGTCTGATTAAGAATATATGGTCTCAAAGACTTTCATACACTTTATGCCCTTTTGTTTGGCATTACAAACCTATTACGCTAATATTGATTTTGGAAAATTGCATCATCTGGAGATAAAACCAAGATATAGCTGGACTTTATTTTCAAAAAACTGCAGACAGAACCTGAAAATGAATGGATTCCTCCTGCTTGACAGCAAAATCAGCCGTTTTTGTCCCAACACTCCTAGACATAACGTGACATCTATGTAAATCAAACCTGCAATTAATTCCCACATTCCACCAATAGAGTGTGTAACGTACAGGTACAATCACACACCCACATCTGAAAATAAGGACCTATCCATAATGGAAAATCTGGTGCAGTCTGCTTCATGCTTAAAAGGTTCTTATCTTCAGTGCAATCTATTTTAAGTCTCACTTGAGCAATCCTTCCATCCACACTGGAGATTGTGCTATGAGTCCTCTTTTCCTGTGCTACACATCCACAGAGAGCAAGGTTTACCCGGTTTTTTCACATAAGCAGTATTTACTTCTATATTTCTGAATAGAGATAGACAAGGCCCTTCTAGAGACCTACATGTCTGAACTGGGGCACGTGAGAATCTGCCCCTGCCTCCCCAACGTTCTCTTCTAGACAACTCGAATCTGAATTTTTTACAGATTTTATTTACAGACACCTCTTTTTCACAAGGAATGGAAACACACTTAGTAAACCCACTTGCACCTTTTATAAAATTTGCTGCTTTAAGTTCCCAAATATGCATTAATAAGCTAATTTGGCCACAGTCAGGAAAAGTTACTTTCCTGAAATGCAGTTCCTAGAGTAAGTAATTTTTCAATCTGTCATTGACTCCCAGTCAGACCATCAGTCTAGCTAACTTAATATTGCCAAAAGCAATGGGCAGCAACTTTCTATGCGGCAGAGATGGACAAAACACGAAACCTTGCTTTACTGCAGAAGAACCAGCTATTTGACCATTGATCCATGGCACTTTCCACAAGATAGATAAACTAATAGTCTCACTCTGGATAATTTCAGTCAATCACACATAGGAGTAATAAAAGCCTTCTGTGTCTACAGTTGGCTGTAGACTAAAACATCTGTAGCAGAAAAGTCCTGTTCAGTTTGATGTGGACATTCTGGTAGACGACTACAGCTGACTATTGTGCATTGGTGATTTCTGGTCCATTTATGAGATGTCTCTTCCCAACAGATTCAGCCACCATTTGAGCAGGAGGTTCCAGATCATGGTCCCCACTGGCTCCGCAGAATCCTGCTGCTTTTGGATCCTCTTTCACATGGCTCAGTACTCCTGATACATCTTGTTCCGACATGCATCGGCTACAAAAAGGAGAGCCAAGATAAGGAGGCTGAATCCAATCCCGAGGCGAAGTGAGTTCAACATGGTGAAATCAGGACTCTGAAAACAGGAGTCTTCTGAAAAAGAAGAAAGTATATATATTTTCTTGCTAAATAAAGTACAATATATTTAGTACATATAACCAAGTACTGTACATACTGTATAACCAAGTGAAAAAGAATGAAATGCTTGTATTACCCTTCATATTCCTCAGCATACCAAAGATTAAACGAAAAAGAAAACAGATAAGCATTTACTTGTATCAGCTCCAGGTAGCTTGACTTGGGTTACCAATCACTGCTTTAAATTACATGTTATTTCCAAATTCAAGACAAGACCCAGTACATATTCTTACTATAATCCATCCACATGGTGGCCGTGTGGACACCAAATTCAAGGCAAGACCCAGTACATATTCTTATTACAATCCATCCACATGGTGGCCGTGTGGACACCAGGCCGTGAAGCAGATCTAATGACTGGGATTTTCTCAAGACTCCTAGTAAGGTGGCTTTTGCAACTGAACTGAAATGTTGATTCCCCCCCTCCCCCCGTTTGACATGGATAACTGAGACACAAGTTTCTATAAACTTTACGCAGGGGCCCTTCCCTGCAATGGGAGGGTCGAACATAGACTTCCTCCCCATGGTGCACTCTATACGTGTTAGAATACATTCAAAATCAGATGAAGACATGCTGCTGAAGCCGTAAGCTTCACAGCATTTTAAAAGAAATGCATTTCATTTACAGTGTTAAGCATTTCAGATTTATATTTGACTGTTTTTAAAAACAATATATGATGACCCTCATAAAAAGTTCTCAACTGTACTTTATTTAGCAAGTATGAAGACCTTTCTCTTCAGGCAGGCTTTCCCTTATGACTGGTTAGCCAAGGGGATGTTTTTTTAAATGGATTATTTTATCCTGTTGTTTTACTTGTGTTTTTAATACTGCTCTTGTTATGAGTTTTAATATGACATCTGTTTAATGCTTTTTTAATATTGTAAGAATGTATTTAGCTTTTAACTTTCTTTTAATAATGTAAGCTGCCTTAGGTCCCTAGGACAAAAACAGTGTATAAATGTTTTAAATAAATAAATACACATGTAAAGCCTGCATTGAGTATAACGTCCATCTGCCCAACTTTGGGGATGATGAGAGATGCAGCTCACCCATCACGGAAAAGTTATGTAACAGTGCAACAAATTTTGTTAGCTGATTATTTGGAAGGCCTTTCTAAAAAAATACCAACAGTCTAAAGAAAGGGATGCAATTTTCCTTGATTCGCCACTCAGTCATTCATCATGTCAATCATCTGTTCAGCCTCATTAGATCCCTGCTTCTATTCCCACACATCACTCCAGCTGATTTTCTCTTGCTTCCTCCTAGCCTCTCGATTGCCTTTTCCATGAAATCTTTGGCAACAACTCCCCCCACTGCCCTGATGCAGCATCTTCTAACTGGTTCTCTACAGATGTACTGGACTCAAACATGTCTAGATGGAACCAAAATAGGAAGAATTCTCCTACTGTGCTCCTAGATCTGTCTCTCAGCCTGGATTGCTTAGGTTTTGGCAGTGTCCAGAAGTGCATTTCCATGATTAAAACTAGTGTGCCAGCTGTGCCCAATCCTGGAGAGGTTTCATCTGCCCATGGCGAAACATGCCTTAGTTACATCCTGGCTGGATTACTGTTAACACACTGTACGTGGGGTTGTCAATGGAACGTGTCAGGAAACATCAATGGGCCCACAATGCAGCTGACTGAGGATGGTTACAGGGATCACAGAACTCCTCTGTTACAGAAGCTCCACTGGCTGCTAATCTGTTTTTGGGGCGGAATTTAAAGTACTGATCCTAACCTATAAAGCCCTAAATAGCTTGGGTCCAAGCTATCTCAAGGACATCATCTCCCTCTATGAGCCTTCTCAGACATTAAGATCATCAGGAGAGGCCTTCCTCTCTCTCCCTCTATGAGCCTTCTCAGGCATTAAGATCACCAGGAGAGGCCTTCCTCTCGGTCCCACCACCTTCGCAAGTGTGTTTGGTGGGACGCAGGAGAGGGTCTTCTCTGTTGCTCCTCCCACAGGAGGCTAGGCTGGCACCACTTTTTGCTGTCCTTCCACAAGCAGACAAAGACCTTGCCATTCAGCCAGGTTTTCCCTGAGTAACTGGCTTCCTGGGTGGGTTTTTTTCAATAGATTATTATATCTTACTCCTTTGAATGTGTTTTGGTGTTGCTTATGTTTTTAGTATGGTATTTCTTTGATCCTTTTTTAGTACTTGTATACTCACAGATGTAAGGAATTAGAAGGAAACTGGGACTTGTAGTCATATAATTTTATTTATTTATTTATTTATTTCATTTCTATCCCGCCTATCTGGACAGATTCGACCACTCTAGGCGGCTTACAATCAGCAGATTGAGTCCATTAGATTCTGGATAGTTTGGATTTAAACCACTGAAATGTTCTCATGGGATTGTTGTTCCAAGTTTGCTCTGCCTGGCACCAAGATAAGGAGCAAGGTTTGAGAAGATCAAGAGGGAGACCAAACACCACATTCCTCTTAACTGGGATGAGATAAGACACCGGCAAGATCTCATGTGAAATACGGGTGGTGAACTGTGTTATGCCCCCTTGATCCTAATTGGTTGACAGTTTGGAAGCCATGATCCTAATTGGTTGACAGTTTGGAAGTGTCAGAAAGAAGGTGGTCCAGACATGTAGAAAAATGGTTGTTTCGTGTATGTGGCATGTTGTTGGTGTTGTTGAGGTAATTGAGGAAAGAAGAGAGAGGCTCCTCTTTTTGAAAGAGAAGGGAGGGAGAGATTAGCCCAGCTTCTCTAGAATGCTAAAGATGTAGAAAGTGCCAAGATGATTACTTAGCTTAGTTTACCGTAGTTGTTACTATTTTAACCTAGGAATAGTAAGCTTATTTGAATCATAGCAACTGATTATGCATTTCCTTTATGCTTTAAAGTTGCAACTGGACTTGAATGAAACTACTTTCTTTTCTTATTAAAGCAATTTTTCTTCAACAAAGGACTTATCTCTTGAACAGCAGGATTGCACCTAAATCCAGTGGAGATTGGAAAGGTCACTAATTGCTATGATAACTAAGAGGTCCTACCTAGTCAGTTTGTTGTGCTGTCTAAGGAAGCACATGGTCAATGGCTTATTGCCTTGTCAGTAGGAAAGAGGCTCTATTTCAGGCTGAGCTTGTCCATAGGGCAAGGGCTACACACTTCAGAGGCTAAAGAACTTGCCTGAGGTAAGAAAAGTGGTGGTGGTTTGCTCCTACACTGATTCCTTACCCAAGATCATTTTCTCTTTAGGGAGAAATTATTCTGACAACAGTTAGCTTAAATACTGATTTTAAATGATTAATCTGCCTTGGGTAATCTTAAGAAGAAAGGTGGATTAAAAATATTTTTAAATAAAATATAAATACACGTAGCTGGAATAACTGCATATTCCTACCTTTACTCCAACCTTTTCTGGTTCTCTCTGTAACATATTTCAGACTGTCAGCTCCTCGGGGCTGTGCCCAATACTAAGTACTCCATAAAGCAGTTTCTACTACTAATAATTATTGTCTCATTATCCAGTTCCCTACATTTCTCTTTAGGCTCACCTTGTGTCCACACCTCAGTGTGATTGAGTTGGTTCTGCTCATACTGGCAGATTAGCTTTCCCCTTGTGATGTTGAAGGCCCCTTCTGACAGGTTGAAGCTTGCCATCCTCCCATCTTGCCAAACTCTGGTTTCAGCAACGAGCTGGCCATTTTGGAAAAGATAGAACCAGCCTTCAGCACGGGAAGGAAATGTGCAGTTTACTCGATATCTCCCTGCTGAGTCCACCAACACCTCCTCGTAACTGGGGACTTCAGTGGTATCTGGAAAAAAATCAAGAGAAGAGTCGAGAAAAGAAAAAAGAAAAAATTTGCAGCTCAAGAGAATCTCACAGTGTGCCAGATTTATTTTTTTCCCAAAGCAAAGTCTGTCAACCCCATAACTATAGATATGCATCTTAAAAACAAAGAAACTATAGCACAGGTAATTTTAAGGTGACTTCCTATCATTTAAACTCGTTGGCTGAGTAGCAAAGCAGCAAAGCACCTTTACTTCCACAAAGGGCCAACAGCAGGGCAAGTAAGGGAATGGCTAGGTGGGCATGTCCTCTGCTGTTTGTGCTATGTTCCTCATTAAATGGCTAGGTGGGCATTCCCTCTGCTGTTTGTGCTATGTTCCTCATTATTCCTTTCAATATTTATTCTGTCAATTACACAACATTAGTGCTAATTGTGAGTAGATCCAATCTTCTGGCATGAATACTCAGTATATTTTATTGGACCAGTAAAGCTTATTTTGTTTTGTTTTGTTTTAATTTTGTTTTTGTTTTCTTTTTGTTTTGAGCAGTGTTTCCAGCCATATTACTTTCTTCTTGCTTTTGGCTTGTGTGATTGCCCACATTGGTCCTTTAGAGCACTGGTTCTTAACCTTTGTTACTCAGATGTTTTTCGACTGCAACTCCCAGAAGCCTTCACCATCAGCTCTGCTGGCTGGGGTTTCTGGGAGTTGCAGTTCAAAAACACCTGAGTAACAAAGGTTAAGAACCACTGCTTTAGAGCAGCAGCTGCCCTGATGATGTACAGTGTCTGGTATGGTGTGGGAGTGAGCCCTACTCCTTTTGGTTACCTTCTTCTCAGTTTCCATGAACAAGACAGACTGTGTGACATAAACAGTCATCCAAAAAAAGAGAGGAGCAGACGAAGGGCTCAAGAGAAACAACAAAGGGACGGCCGGTTTTCTCCCACCAGCACCTGCTGTTTGAGGTGCTTGGCTCACTTTGTCTAATGGAAGGGTGACCCTATACCTCCTATGCATTTTCTCACCAATGACTATCAGCTGTACTGGGTTGCTGGCATTTGACCAGATGATGGGTTCAGTGATGCTGTGGTAATAGCAGGTATATCGGCCTGTATCAGCCATGGTGACATTCCTCAGGGAGAATTCAGCAACGCAGGAGTCCTCCTCAGGGGTGACTTCAATCCGAAACTCCCTGGCTTGGTAAAGGACAAAGCTTATGCCTGCAAATGAAGCCCAGCAACGGATAGTCCAGTCTTGTCCTGCAACGACTTTGGTACTGGGACTCACAGCAATGGATGGCTTGGGGTAATGGTCTGAGGGAAGGAGAGAAAAGCCGATTTACCTCAAGCCTAGTTTTCTTACAGCTCATAAGGGTTATTATTATTATTATTGCACTAATAACACTGATATTTATGTTTAGCTTCCCCTTACCCACCAGTAACAGTAATATTTATGTTTAGCTTCCCCTTACCCACCAACAGCATTAAGAGCTGACTTAAAAGAATATAGCAAAACAGTCACAATAGTACACCCTGCAGAAAATTAAATTACTAGCCTTTTATAAAGCTTGTAGTTTGTAGCCTTTGTTTCCATGCTTGACATTGACACAGAGAAAGGAAACTTAGAAACCCATGGTTCTAGGTTCTAAGCAGATTATCTTGAAAAATTCCTTCTGCTATGAGAATATAAAACCAATGCTCTAATCTACCTCCCATTAATATATTTTTTTCACCACTTACCAAAAAAATAGACTGTCAAGGTATCTGGTCTGATTCTCTTGGGAGAGGGGTATGGAAAGTGTGATCTTATCATGAGTCCCAGACAACACAGCCGATGGTTTGAGATTACAGGAGCTGCAATGCAGTAGTATCTGGAAGGCAACGTTTTCCCCTAACCATGCCGTGGGAGCCGGCTCCATAACCCTGACTACATAGCCCAAAATGCTTTCGTGGAGGTGGGAGCAAGGCATCTGACTCTATCTGGTCCCCCCTCTGCGAGAAGGAAAGATCAGGCAGTAACCATCAATAACCACGCTGACTGGGGGATTCTGAGAGATGAAGTCCACACATTTTTCAAGACCTCACTAAATCCCTCCTGGTTTTTCAGATACAGTGCACCGTACAGTTCATGAACTTGTTTACTTGGAAGTAAGCTCCTGTAATATAAATAGTTAAATTTGAGATCTTGGCCCACTTTTCATTTGGTTCTTCTAATATTCCAGTAACTTGACTCTAAACCAAAATGGGCTGAAATGATAATGGCCCCCGTCTCAGGGTGTCAGTTCTTCATAATCATAATGCCCTATTTCCATACTAGTCGCCCCACTGATTCTACACCAGCCCTCCTTCTCTGCACCACCAGAATAATTTCTGCCCTTACTAGGCCAAGATGTGGCCAATACTCACCCTTAGTGATGTTTACAGGGCTGCTGAGTGGGGACTGAACAGCTTTGCCTCCTTCCCACATCTCATAGCTGCAGCGGAACTGCTCACTGGGACTAATGGTGTGGACTGCAAAAACAACTTCAGATTCTGTGGGTAAGGCTTTCTTTTCAGCCACGGGCTCCCGGCCGCTACCCTGGTACAGGAAGAACAGGCTTCCCATATACTCCCCCGAAGTGGTACATTGGAGGAAATGCTTCCCTTCTGCATCTGCAACCTGATGCCAGTAGATGGATGGCTTTGGCAGGGCTAGAAAAGAAAGAGAAACTAAAGCTCAAACTGGACCATACATTTAGCATGCTTTAGAAAGAACTGCTCCTCCGACTGGCAATTGATGTTTATCAAATCACAATAATTTTCCTCACCTATGTATTTTGCATTTAGTATGATTTGTTCTGTAATTGGGTTTTGGAAGGTAAACATGGGCTCTATTTGGAAGTGCTATTGTGACAGCATATATCCTTAGGAAGTCTCTTTTCAGAGGGAAAACATTAATCAGAGGTATGCTGTCCTTAAATTCACGTTTGAATGGTGTTCTGACTGAGGAATCCACACTGTCTGTTTTCCAACTCCTCTCACCATGTGCAAACAAAATAACCTTTAACCTACACATGCTGTATTCAAAATTTTATAAAGCTTTTTGTTACTAGATACCCTGAAGCACTACACTTGTGAGGTATGTTAATCCATTTCTTAATGTTTTCTGATAGATATCTTTATCATCTAGCAATTGAAGTCACTATTAACCTAATCCTTAGATTGGATGTGGCAGTGACTGAATCCGGCGTGAATAAATACATTAAATAAAAGTTTTGCATACACAGAGTGCGTTCTGCCATGGCGTTAAGGTTGCATTCCCTTGTGATTTAACAGGCTCTTCCATTCTTTTTCCTAGTTAAAACTGGATTCCAGTCATGGCCCACCCAAGGCATTTTGCTGCCTGAGGTGATCTGCAAAATTTTCTAACCCTCAGCCATGGTGCCCAAAGGCAGCCTCAGTTATTTGGGCAATGTAAGGAGAGCTTTCCTCCCCTTTTGTCGCATAGTACAGTGGGGTCTTCACTTGAGAACTTAAGGTAGTAAAAGTGCAGTACTAAATGAAATAATTATGAAGAAACTGACTTTCTAAGACACCCCAAATCAGCTACCTGAGCTTGAGAGATCCTGCCTTAATGTTTTACCATATGTACAATAAATGTCCCCAGATGGAACAGCTAGGAGATACTACCCATGTGGGACTCTTGCACACTGTGGAAATTTACATTAAATTACAGGTATAATTTCAAGGCCCCCAAATATTTTTGTTACCCATAGAACTACAAGAGGCAAGTAAGAAAGAAATAAGTATCCAATAACTACAGCCTAAAGGATACTGATGCTGGTGAAAGACGACTGAAGATGACTTCCAGATTGGAAAACCGGACTGTGCTTAAGTTCTGAAGATGAAGCATCACCCAAAGGAAAGGAATTTTCATATTCCCAGAGCTGAGAAATTTTTAGATCCTTTCATTTGTTGAGGATTATTTCTCCCCCTCTAATCACAAGCCATCTATAATGTCTGGCTTTGCCCTTATTGTTGTGAGTTTTAAAAGTAACTCTTCATTTCTTTGTTACTCAAAACAATCAAAATAGTTTATTTTAGTTACTTTTAAAAGTGCAGAATGTTGCACCACATTGGTAGAATAAAACACATTGAGATAGTGAGGTCCCTTGTAACTACAAAAATAACTAAATCAGGTATAGTTCCACCACAAAGGGATATTTATTCCTCATTAAATTACAATTATAATTTGACCTGAGATTTTGGAGAGAAAAGGGGGATATTTCAGTTATGACTTAGTTATTGGGGCGCGGGGGGGAGGGAAGAAAAGAACCAGTTACAAGCAACTCCTTATCTGTGATGGAGTTACTTCTAATCACAGCAAGCCAAACAATACTTACTGATAGTAAGAAGTAAGATGGGGAAAGGAACAGGCATCCCGAGAAGACACAGAAATTTACAGCTGAGTAACACCTCAATGTAAAGCCTTCAAAAGATAATAATCTGACAACCAAAGACTCCTAGTATACATGATCTCCTCAGGAAATGATGACACATCATCAGTCATAATGGTGAGAATGTGTGTATGGAGAAGGAAAGATCACTTCCTTTTCTGACAAAGGCTGGAATAAATTAATTCTGATTTGAGATGGTCCGTGTCACTTGAAAGACATCGAAGCCGTTTAACAATGAGTCTTTAAAGTGAGCAGGTGAATCTGTGAGCAGAATACCATAGTATGCAGTGGGCTTTTAAAGTTTTACATGCCCCTTGAGGCTAAGAATCCCCCTTTCCTTCTTATACAAATGGATTTCTTTCCTATTCTTCTGAGGCAAATAGGGGGCCACAAGCAGGGACCAGATTTTCACATTTTAATTTTTTCATTGTTCAGCTAAATAGTATATGACAGATCTTTCCAGTTCAAGAGCAACCTGATTCTCAGGACCAGACAACCCTCGGGGAATGGCAACTGTGTGTTTCCAGAAAGACTAGATTCATTGTTATTCGTAATATTGGTTGGACTGAGTGGACGTTGGTCTAATTCCATGGCCGGGCCAGCCCTACCATTAGACAGAATGAGGAAGTCATCCCCTAGCAGATGTCTGGGAGTCATGAAACAGCAGACAATGTTTATTTAATTTTTTTTACTATAAATTTATTATCAGGGATAGGGAAAGATGAGATTGTAGGGTTTAATGGCTTATATGGCAAAACAACCTGTTGGTTTTGTGGACCTTTTGGGGGGGGGGTTGTTACTATTTGCTGTTCTACCTCAGGGACCAAAAAACTCTTATCCCAGTCTTGTCCTTCATTAGGGAAAGCCAAAGCTCATTGAAAGAACACACAATTTGAGTGGAGGGGGTCTCGGGTTCAAATCCTGCCATCTCAATTGTAAAGGATTAGGTAGCAGTTGATGGGCCCAAGACTTTGAAGAGTTACTGCCAATCAGAGCAGACAATACAGGGCTCATTGACCAATAGGCTGATCTGGTATAACTTAGAAGTGCTACTTTTTGGACTACAATGTCCAGGATTTCCTGGGCAGCATAATAAATTCTCATAGTGGGATTCTGGAAGTTGTAATTTGAAAAATATTTTTTTCCAAGTTTATCAGGCAAAAAAAAAAAACAAAAATTAAAAAAAAAACAATTTGTGGCACCTTAAAGACTAATTGCAATATTTTAATATGACCTTCTATGGATAAGTCTACTTCCTCAGAATTAAGAAGTGGACTTTTTGAAGTTTGAGATATAAGGCAGCTTCCCAACAAGGAAATGCTAATGTACAGAACTGTCAATAAATTACTTCATTTTCTGGATGTGTTCACACAGAATTGCAGCAACACTATTCCTTCTGTTCTCAGTGTAAGATTACAAGAGTTATGCCTCCTATAGGTGAAACAGCACCATCCGTGTACAAAAGGGAAAGGTTATCAAGCTTGGAGTGCCCCAAATATCTATTTAAAAAGTAAATCTAAAGTGTCCCTGGATAAAACAGATAAACAAGGTTTTGAATTGCTTAACGCCCACAGACACCAGGCAATGCAATATCCCTGAGAAAGGCATGGCTGAATAACTGAAACAATAAATAGGAGAAGCATATGCTGCAATATTTTGTCGCAGGGACCCATTCATGTAGATGTTATCCCCATTTTACAGATATGGAAACTGAGGTAAACGTGAGACAGAAGAATTCCAGGGTTACTCCTTTCAGAAATTAACTGGACCTTGTTTGTTGCCAAACAAAAGGAAATATGGGAAGCTGAACGTGATATTATGCTAAGAACTGGCGTCTTGATTAAGCAAGATTCAGAACTTCCTCCTCTAAGATCCAGAAAGTCCCTGATGATTCAAAGGACACAGCTGCGGCTTTGTGAGCAAAATATGAGCATGTCTGTTTCTTTCTTCTGCTGGACCTGCAAAGAAAGTGGACCTAGTGGTTAACTCCAGAGCAACAAAGAGAGAAGTTTATTTTGAGAAAGGAACACCCACAACTGAGGCCTTGTCTAAACTCTCTTCCATAACCTAGTGTCCTCCATTAGTATCTGCATACGTACTGTTTTTAGCTTTAAATATTGTCTTGACGTAAGCTGCCTCGGATCCTTTTTAAGGAAGACGGACAGGGTAAACAAACAAATGTGTTGGCCTACAAACAGGGCTCAGGACTTTTTAAACAAAGAAACCAGCAGTATTATTCTTGGCAGCCATAATCTTGGTGTGTTCAGTATTATTAACGGGCTGTGTTGTCCTCAGTGGCATGACAGAAAAAAACCCAGAGTTTCCTCTGTTAGTCAATTCTGATTTTGTAGCTTGTGAATAGCTACAAAAATACAAAAGCAAAATCTCCCTTTGCCCTTTAGAATTGAAAAGACAGTGGCATAAAACCTGAAAACTGCCTCCAAAATACAGTACCTCTAAAAGCAAATGTTGAAAATAACTAGGAAATGTGGCTCATTAAACTTAAGAAATAACTTGGTAATACTTGTTCATTACTTTTATTGTAACTTTATAATTACACATCACACTGCATGTTACCCAAAAAGCAATCAGTTGCAATCGACAATGTTAGTTGTAACAGTTTTTTTCCAGGCTCTAACTACAACTGACACTACCATTATTTTATTATCTGACTAATTTTTCATTTATATTCGTTTTTCTCCAATAAGCTAAATGAGTACACGGCACTATTCCTTTACCCCCACAACAAACCATATCAGTAGGCTTGACTGAGAAAGTATGGCCACCCTTACTAAACTTGCAGCTCAATGGAAGGAAGGTGGGATACCATAAAAAATTACTAGGCCAATTGGTTTCCATACATGGAAGGAGCCTCATCTTGTCCTTTGCCTCAGGTAGCAAATTGTCTTGGGTTGCTTGTGATGGCCCATGTTTCCAAAGGATTTCCCTAATTAAAACAAAATTGGGAGACAGATAGCTCAGAGGTTTAAGTGGGTTGAGAGTTCAATTCCCCACTGTGCCTCCTTAACTGGACTCTTAAGTTCCATAGGCTCCCTTCCAGCTCTGCAGTTCTAAAATGATGATGATTCCTTGATGTACCGGTAAGTACTGTATGATTAGGATTAAATTAAACAAACCTGACATATAAGTATACAAACACATATTTACCTGTACCTGCAATTTTTTACTTCGCCCAAATGATGGCCGTGGATGGGAATTCTGTGTACAGTGGGGTCTTGACTTGATTGACATATATGTATACAAACACATTATATTTACCTGTACCTGTAATTTTTTACTTGGCCCAAATGATGGGCATGGATGGGAATTCTGTGTATCTGTTGTTTAGTATTACTTACATCTCGTATTGCTCGCTGATTTCCAGGAGTGAAATATTTTTCAATTTAATAGTCACATCAAACCTTCTCTTCCATCGAAAGACACATTCTGGTACCTTCTGGATGGAGGAAAGACAAAATACTCAGGTCCATGTGTGAATGCATTAAGAATAGCAATGAAGAAAAGCTGAAAGGGAAAAACAGGGTAAAACTGTTCTCTTTAGCCTATGAAGTACAGTGGACCCTTGACTTACAGACGGCTTGACTTACAGACTTTTTGAGTTACAGACTTCTCTGGCCGCAAAATTTAGGTTTGACTTGCAGCCTGAGAATTGACTTACAGACCAAAATGGAACAAGAACTGCCTGTTACGGGATTAATCGGTTTTCAATGCACTGTAGGTCAATGGAGACTTGACTTACAGACTTTTTGACCTGCAGCCACCGTTCCAATATGGATTAATTCCGTAAATCAAGGGTCCACTGTAAAGTGTGGTTAATTTCTTTCCCCACGTTACTGTTGGTCGTATTGCTCGCTGATTTCCAGGAGTGAAATATTTTTCAATTTAATAGTCACATCAAACCTTCTCTTCCATTGAAAGACACATTCTGGTACGTCCTGGATGATGCAATCACGTCAGAGGATAGAGGAAAGACAAAACACTCAGGTCCATGTGTGAATGCATTAAGAATAGCAATGAAGAAAAGCTGAAAGGGAAAAACAAGGTAAAAGTGTTCTCTTTAGCTTATGAAGTAAAGCGTGGTTAATTTCTTTCCCCACGTTACTGTTGGATATATTGCAACCTGCACATGATGCCTTTGAGAGGTTTAAACTGGGAGTGAATTTTCTTGACTGAGGTTGAATATCAGTCAATTTTGTAGCAGTCAATAGTTCTTTCTCTACCTTAGATTATGTTTCTTTCCTTTTTTTCCAGTTAGGTACCTGTCAGTGTTGACAACAGAATCTGTCAGAAGTAGATTGTTAAAATTATGTGTTCTGCCAGCTAGTTAATCAGTTAAACTCAGCAGTAGCAACAGAATCTGTCAGAAGTACTGTAGATTGTTAAAATTATGTGTTCTGTCAGCTAGTTAATCAGTTAAACTCAGCAGTATAAGAAGTTAATATCTTTACACAATGTTTGTTCCTCTTTATGAAGAACTGTAGGCAAGTGAAAACATGCTATTTTTCCCCATTACCAGAATCTCCAAGTATTGAGACGATAAGTGCCAGTTGAGGTGAACTAACAAATAAGGGCTGATCTACTGAGGGAAGCCAATCTGTTCTATAGGCTCCTTCCAGAATCATTGTATCTGCTGCCTAATTAGTAAGAAATAAGTTTATTTTTCTTTAAGCTACACTGTTAAAATTATGTGTTCTGTCAGCTAGTTAATCAGTTAAACTCAGCAGTATAAGAAGTTAATATCTTTACACAATATGTTTGTTCCTCTTTATGAAGAACTGTAGACAAGTGGAAACATGTTATTTTTTCCCCATTACCAGAATCTCCAAGTATTGAGACAATAAGTGCCAGTTGAGGTGAACTAACAAATAAGGGCAGTTCTACTGAGGGAAGCCAATCTGCTCTATAGGCTGCTTCCAGAACCATTTTATCTGCTGCCTAATTAGTAGAAAATAAGTTTATTTTTCTTTAAGCTACACTCAATTTCCTCACAGGAAGGCCATTAAACCTCATGGAGTGAGGCCTGAAATCCATTACCTGGAAACAAATTTACCTACAAGGTTGCAGACTCTGTCCTGAACAATACCTGATCTTGATTTCGTTGCTTCCCCGCCCTTCTCCAACTGAAATGCCTAGCCTGATGGGGAGTCCTGGGACAGCTCGAAAACCACCCCATTTGTCAATTTCCTCACAGGAAGGCCATTAAACCTCATGGAGTGAGGCCTGAAATCCATTACCTGGAAACAAATTTACCTACAAGGTTGCAGACTCTGTCCTGAACAATACCTGATCTTGATTTCGTTGCTTCCCCGCCCTTCTCCAACTGAAATGCCTAGCCTGATGGGGAGTCCTGGGACAGCTCGAAAACCACCCCATTTGTGAGATTTTAATGGTCTAATAAAAGGATCGCCCATTATTGCTTTTCGATTTCCGATTGTTGTAATTAATATGCAATACAAAAGGCCGATGTGAGTGAGTTAGATTGCAACAAACCCGCCAAGCCTTGCAGGAGAAAAACGGGCTGGAAAATCCTGAAGCCCATAAAGTGAAGAGCAGAAGGGGGAAAACTTCGATAGGAAAACATTCCCCATTAAAAGTATTTAAAAAACGGAAGGGGGGGCGCGGTGACATAAGGCAGCGAGACTGCGCAAGAGACTAAAAGGCTGTGAAACTACTGTTCCCAGAATGCATAGCACCCTCTTTACCTTGATTGCAAGATGTCGGCGTTCCGCAGTAAGTGAAGGGGGTTACATAGCCGTATTTGTTTTGTGTGTGTGTGTGGGGGGGGAAATGCATATTTTCCAGTCATAGTCTATGAAGAAAGATTGTGGACATCCAGGGTTGTGGGGAGGGGGTTTCTGTGTCATCGAGGATTTGTTTCAGATGAAGGAAAGATGGACAGGGACGCCAACAAGATGACCTCGGAATACTTGAGTGAAGAAAATATGTTGGACCCTAGTTGGGTTTAGATTTGTGTTGCGTGTGAATGACGTGCACGGAGTGTTCGTGCTTGGGAGAGGTCCGATGTATGCACCGTGTGGTTTTCCAGTTATCCATGATCCGCTCGAGCATATACTGTATCCGCTGGATCTTAAGCACAACTTGGAGGAGTTACATATATTAAGTAATACGTTAGACTAAATATTGTAAATTATATGTGGGAGCTATTCGACTATAGCTCTCAGAATCCTCTGGACAGCATGGCTGCTGGTTCCTAGGAAATGCAACCCAGATTAGTTAGAACTGGAGGAGTTGTGGGAGTCACAAAAAAAGTAACTTTTCCAAGCTGTAACCGTGACTGCTGTTTCCAACATAAAGAGCAAGTAGAATTTGACTTTATTATTATTATAATGTTAGGTCAAGTCACCTCCGACTTATGGTGGACTCTATAAATTAATGACCTCCAAAAACATCCTGCCCTCAGCCAGCACTTCTCAGCGCTTGCAAACTGAAGCACGTTGCTTCCTTTATGGAGCTAATCCCATATTTGGTATACCTTTTTTCCTCCAGTCTTCAACTTTTCCAAATATTATTGTCATTACCAGCAAGTCTTGTTTTGCTGGGACATGGAAAACAAAGTACAGTACAACAGCCTCAGTTTTGTAATTTTTGCCTCTTGTACAATTTTACTGCACAAACACACTTGTTTGTGTTTCTGCCAATTCAGGGTATGTGCAAACGTCTGCTCCAGTACTGTAAGCCTAATGAATCAATCTTTTCACAGTCTTTCAACATCCAGATTTCACATCCATATATAGCAAATAGGAATACGGTATTGTGGATGATCTTGGCCTTCGTCTCCAGTCACACATCGCCACATTTGATCTTTTCAGATTCCTTCATCACCACCCTTCTAAGGCCCAGTCTTCTTCTGATTTGGCCGTATTTTTATTTAGATTTTTTTATTGAATTGAAGTATATGTGAAACAATACCCTTATATTGCCACGAAAGAGAGGAAGTGTTTTTAGTGGAGAGCGCTCCACATACTGTTGTGCAGGTGAGTGGCACTATTGCCCACAACAGAAGGTGAAATGAAACTGATGAAAGATGCTACAATGCCCGTTATTGCTATGTTGACTTATGACATGTCTTCCTCAGACACACAGTCCAGTGCCAGAGAGTGAACCATTTAAAACATCTGTATGGTATTAAGCATGTTTGTTTCTTCTTGTCCACATTACAGGAGCTGGTGAATATGTGAAAAACGCATGGGCAAAGGAACCTGCGCTTGTGGCCTCTTTTGGCATTTCTATTCTATGTGAGTTTATCTTGTGTTTGCTTGCAGCTGAGGAATTCTTATTTTATTAATATTCTGTAGTATTAAATCTGGAAGTGCAGGTGTACATAATGGCAGTCCCTATAGCCAGCCAGACTCTGCTTATAAGAAGAGTCCCCAAATGCAGGATGCTGAAGTCGTCCATAGAGAAGCAGGTCTTTTATAAAGTGTATAGATGGAATCCTGTTGGGGTCTGCATAACTTTCAATGACTAATTTCAGTTGGTTGATGAGCAGCTGGGGATATGTTGATTGCACAGAGGAGAGTCAGGCGTTGAGACCAAGATGTACCTTGCCACCTTGTCAAATAGCTGACACAGATTATGCATACCTTATGTGGACAATGTGTGGTTCAGACTAACAGTTCGTAATTACCCATCCAAGACAAAACTAGCCTTGAATACATTCTCTCACAGCGAGGAGAGTTTTGAAGCAACCTACACTGTGCATACAGTTCCTGAGAAAATCCCACTTTTCTGCCAGTTTCTGCAGGGACAGCAGTTAAACTCAGAAGAAACGGGAAAACCTAAGGAGGGGTGGTGGCAGATGATGCCATATTTCCTGCTGTTCAGAAAGTGCCAGGGCTTTGACCACACAAGTGATATTCTGTCTCCAACTACGGTTGGGATGGAGTCCTATCTGAAACCCTGGAGTGCTACTGTTAAAAAATAAGAGGGCATTAAGCCAATGTACCAATTATCTTTAACAGGTTTCCTATATTTCTAGTTGATCAACATGGAATGTATGTTTAATTCCTTTCCAGTGCATGCCTCTGTTTCTCTTTCCTGCTTTCAGGTTGCATAGCACCTCTAATCAGTCCCTGGACTAAATATACCAAAATGATTGCCGAAGTGGTACCATATACATATCCAGGTATAAACACATCCACAAATTCTTACCATATTAGTTCTTGTTGTAGGGCAGTGGTCCCAAACCTTTTTAGCCCTGCATACCAGCTGGAGAAGACGGGCACCCCCTGCGCGCGCATGTGCGAAAGAGCATACACTCATGCACATGCACAAAAGAGCAGGGGCGTGCACATGCTTGTGCGGGTGTGCTCTCATGCAGGTGCAAATGGACTGTGCAGGGGCTAGTGGGGGTGGGAGGTCTGTCTCCACAGCCTGGTCTGGCTCAGGCCACGGACTGGGGGTTGGGGACCTCTGTTGTAAGGGATAGCAGGGAAATGACAAGACTTTTTTTTCCTGCCAGTGTCTTTAATACTGGTGGACAGATATCTAGTCATACAGCAAAACTTTTTGGGAAGGAAGTTAGCTGAATAACTATTAAACAGGGAAGGAGGGGGTTTGTCGCTGAAGGTTGCTTCTTTACATCAGTGGCCCCCAACTTTTTCTGAATTGCAGACGAGTTTTGGGGAGGTCCGTGCACAGGGAGCAGGGCATCCCCTGCATTCGTGTGCATGCACGGAGAGGAGGGGCGCACTTGCAGGTGTGCGTGCGGGGGGCAGGAGATCTGTCTCTGTGGCTCGCTCCTGCCATGGCTGGGGACTAGGGGTTGGGGACCCCTGCTTTACAGTGATGAAACTTTTGCAGACCAGTTTTGCGGAGGTCCGTGCACAGGGGGCAGGGCACCCCCTGCATTTGTGTGCATGCAGAGAGGAGGGGTGCACTTGCAGGTGTGTGTGCAGGGGGCAGGAGATCTGTCTCTGTGGCCCGCTCCTGCCATGGCTGGGGGTTGGGGACCCCTGCTTTACAGTGATGAAACTTTTCTGTGTGGGAAAAGTTGGCATCTTTAAGCAATTGTGTTACAAGGATAAACAGATGGGTACGGTTTCCCTAACAGTACTTCTCTATGCCATAGATTTTTAAAATGTATTATTCAGTAGCATTTGCATCACCCACACAGCTATTAAGGAGGCAGAGCTTTTGTCAGAGAGAAGCCCATCCACTAGTGCTGTGCATGCTTCTAGAGCAGTGGTTCCCAACCTGTTTTCACTTGTGTATCGCTTGGCAGTCTATAAATTGTATCCTTCTTGTACAATTGCTGTTATTTCAAATTTGTGTTGCAACTGTAAATTAATAGCACAGTAATGGGATTTAAAAAACAATGGAGTAATGTGATGAGGTAGTGCACACACACACACAATGCCCAAAAGATACAATGAATTGATAAACATAGATTAAGCCGCCCAGAGACCTTTGGATAGTGTAGGTGGCATATAAATTAAATAAATAATAAATAAATGAATAATAATTACATTTTAAAAAAATTAGAGAAGGCCCAGAACTCTAATTGAACATTGCTCATGGGAGTGACTGAGGTGCCCACTTATATATTCACCAGTATTGATGCAAGAACACTCATATGTTCATGAAGTGGAGGAGAATGAAAGCAGAGTCTGTGAGGGGCATGCTGTTAAGCATGTGCGCTGCAGTGATGTGTTTGCAACATGTGGCTTGAGGGCGATTCCCCATTATTTGCCAAAGTGAGGGAATAGGGCTTTTCTGGTGGTTAACAAAGAAACTTGCTCTGCCATTTGTTACAATGTTCAATTTCACAATTCTATCTTGTCTTACACTAGTGCTATATGCACTTTTTTTCTGCCATTACTCAATTTTTTTTTCATGTACTCCTAAATGTCCTGGTTTGTATCCCTGGGGCTACACTTACCTCAGGTTGGGAATCACTGCTCTAGAGAGTCGGAACAGAGAGCTAGTGCAGGCAGAGTAGCATTCATTCAACTTCTTGGGCTGATGTACTTGTACCATGTTGTGTGGAGAAAAATTGTATGTTACATCCTACCCTACCATAAATAATTGTATTAAAGCTGTAACTGGAAATGGATGGGCATCCTCTTACTTGGCTGCCCCTTTCTTTCCATCCCTCAACAGTTCCAGTTCGAGATGATGGAAATATGCCAGATATTCCTGCCCACCCCTGCGACAAGGAAGGGCCAAGCCTTGAGTGGCTGAAGACGTTTTGAGACATACCACTTTTGAAGCAGCCCAGAACGCTCAGTTAAAGGGACAGTGAGGACTCTACAAAGCTACCTGCCCTTTCTTGTATACCTGTTAGAATTTCAAGATATAATAAATTTTCTGTTAAAGGGTGGACTTTGCAACCTTTGTGTAGCCTTTTACCCTCCAGCTGTTCTGGATTTCAATTCCCAGAGCCTGTTCCCACCTCACTGTAACCAATAATAGTTGCCCAAATCATCTTGCAAGTTCATGGTTCCCCATCACAAGGATTCCTTTCAGATTTGAGGGTGGGGGGAATACAAAATAGTTTCTTACCAGCCCCATTATTGCTAAAGGTGTTAAGCAACACCTGATATCATCGCCCCCCTCCCCGTGGTGATGAATGGTAATTTTGCTGAGAGGAATTACAGAGTCTTATGCCATTCCAAGCATTCTTCCAATATTGTGCTTCCCAGGATTCTTAGAGGGAAGATGTTGCAATAGGCCTCGAGACCAAACAATGTTCCGAACAACATCAGAGGGGGTGCGAATATGCTGTTTTTTTATGACTCTCAAATCATCTTGCAAGTCCATGGTTCCCCATCGCAAGGACTCTTTCCAGATTTGAGGGTGGGGGGAATACAAAACAGTTTCCTACCAGCTCCATTATTACTAAAGGTGTTAAGCAACACCTGATATCTGTTTGTCCTTCAAGGCTCTTAGGAATGGTAATTTTGCTGAGAGGAATTACAGAGTCTTATGCCATTCCAAGCATTCTTCCAATATTGTGCTTCCCAGGATTCTTAGAGGGAAGATGTTGCAATAGGCCTCGAGACCAAACAATGTTCCGAACAACATCAGAGGGGGTGCGAATATGCTGTTTTTTTATGACTCTGAAACATGAAACTGCTCAAGCATTGTTCTACCGCCCCCCTGAAAAATGAAATCACCCCCTGGGGGGCATTATCGCCCACGTTAAGAACCACTGCAATAGGCCTCAAGACCAAACATAATGTTCCGAACAAGACCAGAGGGGGTGCGAATATGCTGTTTTTTATGACTCTGAAACATGAAACTGCTCAAGCACAAGACAGCTTTGAGCTCTACTGGTGCCACTAGGTGACTTGCAACAGAGCAGTTTATGGCTTCCTGCTATAGATCAATGTCATTGTAAATTTGGCTGCTGGTAGGAGGTTTGGAGAAAAATTGGTGGTTTATTGGAAAGGACTGTGGATTCAGGTGCACTACAGGAAACAAACAGCAGACTGAAAACATGCACCCTTTTTCTTAATTCCAAGTGCCCGACTGTCTTACCACCTCAACCATCATTTCTTTTCCCATGGTGATATTGGGGAACCTAATAAAAAAAGTAGGGCCCAAATGTCAGACTGTAACTTCCACCCCTTCTAGTCAATGCTCAACCAGCCTAGCTGTTGTGCAGTGTCCCAGAGTGCCATTAATTAAGACACTCCTAAAATGTCTGCTTTAGTGAATGGCAGAGAATTTCTGTTCTCCCAAAGCATCAGTATAAAGACTTATATCTTCATTTACTAAACTGAATAGTTTGTGGAAACCATCTACCTTACATCCAGCCTCTGGTCCCAGATGGGTAACAGGTGAGAGGCTAAACATCTCTGCTTCTCACAAGTGACTTTACTCTTATCTTTCTACTCATTTCCCTTATCCAGGCATTTAAGACATAGAAATACCGTACTCTGAATGCCCCACATCAACAATGACACTTTTGGACATATGAAACAAAGCCCCGTTGATTTTGCACAATCATCCCCAGCCTGGAACCCTCCAGAAAGTTTGGGCTACAACTCCCACCACTGACCATATTAGCTAAAGATGATGGGAGTTGTAACCTGGACACCAGATGATGCTAGAATAAGGTTGCTCTAATGCAGGGGTCAGGGAACTTTTTTACCTTTTACCCTCCAAAAAATTTATATACGCCGACATTACCCCCTTGATTTGAAAGGAAGGAAATCATACATTATTTGAATTCGAAATCTTATTGAATCTATTCAAAAGATGCTAGAATAAGGAAGGTTGCTCTAATGGAATCAATAATATTGCATGCTGTTGTCGTTTCCTTGTGCGTTGTATTATTTGGCACAGTTCGGAGCAGTACATATCCTTTCCAGATGCTTCCCTCGTTGGCTCAGTAATTATTTATGTAAAGCACTCTTGAGTATGCTAAAGTTCAATGCTACATACTGTGCTGTCCTTTAGAAATGAGCTGGTCCTTTTGACAATATTGTGGCTCTGCTCATCCTCATTACCCCCAGGATTTTCATTTTACCCCATTTGGGGTAATTTACCCCTGTTCCCTGACCACTGCTCTAATGGCATCAATATTGCATGCTGTAGTCGTTTCCTTGTACGTTGTATTATTTGGCACAGTTCGGAGCAGTACATATCCTTTCCAGATGCTTCCCTCGTTGGCTCAGTGATTATTTATGTAAAGCACTCTTGAGTATGCTAAAGTTCAATGCTACATACTGTGCTGTCCTTTAGAAACGAGCTGGTCCTTTTGAGTAGAAAAGGTGCCTTCTGATAGCCTCATGGCCTGCCTCAGTGAGCACTGACATAAGCAATCTCTTCTTTTAGCCACCCAGCAATGGCTACCAGTCTCAGTCAAAATCAGAACAGGCCCCAGGACTTGAAAACTTGGGGTAATGGAGCAACTTGTCTCTGGGACTGGATGGCTGCCAGGCAGGAACAAGGACATCTTGCTCACACTGGAAATCCTCTTCAGACTTAATCTGCAACCATAAAAAACCAAAATAGTTGTGAGAAAGGCTGTCTCGGGCCAAAAGTTCCTGCACATTTTGTATTGTCCTGACTATGTTATATGGTTATAATAAATCAGAACTTGGAAAAATTAGTTTTTGGAGCACAACTCTTGGAATATTTTAGCCAACACATCTGTGCTGCTTGGTCCAGGTTGAGATAAATTTGCTTGCTTGAGAAAAAACAGTAATAACCAGAAGCAGCTTTTCTCTCCTGGAAGAAAAATGGATGCTTCCAATTACTATTTTGTACAGGTACATGTATGTACACAAAAACATATTTTAAAATAATTAGGAAGACAATAATAAAGGTTCAACCCTGAATTTAAGTTCTTCAGCAGATTTCGCACAGGTTCCTGGAGTATATATAAACCTGGCTGTGTGACTTTGTCAGGGCACATTTCTAATCTACTTCTTGGGGGGGGATTAGAAATATTATTGGTGGATACTTCACGTTCTCTAGTACCTGCACAGGAAACTCCTCCATTGGGAGCAAGGTTTGGGCTGTACGCCGTATCCTCCCTTCCTTTTCCTCCCGCAGGTGGCGCCGCCTCTTTTTGGTGATTGGGCCTTCGGATGGAGAGAGACTCTCAGGCTCATGGGCAGGCAAGGCAACTAGGGGGGCTCTGGTGGTCTCTTTCTCAGGGGGCTCATTCTCTGTGTTGCCAGGTGTCAGAGCATCCGTGCTATGGCACCCTTCGTCCTAGACAAGAGAAGACAGTTGAACCAAAACTACAATATTTTAAGCAGATGTCATACTCAGCTGTGAGTCTAGAGCCAACCATATTTACTACACCAAGAATGAGGAAACTTTGGCTCGCCAAATGTTTAGGACTTCAGCCGCTAAAAGACCCAATAGCATGGTTCATGCAACTATGGAACTGCAATCTAAAACATCTGGAGGATCAAAGTTCTTTCACCTATTTTGCATTTGGAACAAAATCCAGTATCAGCTCATGATTAGAGATGGGATCTTGCGATCAGCAAGCCACTCTTTGATCTGGCAGAGGCTTGTCCTGCCTCCTGCCAGGAGTAGCTAACCGATTGCATGATCTGGAGCGAACGGAACAGCACGGAGGCTGCAGCGACAGCAGATCGCTGAGTTATTATCTCCACCTGTGCGGGAGTATTCATATTTGTCTATGAATACTCCTATCTCTACCCATGATACCTTTTTCCTACCATCTCAACACTGATCTTATTTCTTGGTTCAGCCCAAACTTCTATCCATTCTCAGTCTATCATGCTGCAATTGTAAGTTCAATCCAGCTACCTGTGAACCTGCATCCTCCAGATGTTCTGGACCACTTTAGCCTTGGCCAACATGGCCAATGGCCACAGCCAATGGGAATTCCAGTTCAACAAATCTAGAGTGCACCAGTTTGGGGAAAGCTGATTTTCGCTTCTTCTACCTCAAACCAATCCTTGTTTACCTCCAGGACTATATCCAAGTGACCCTGTCTGTAATCGTCCCCATAGGAATCCAGCACTCTCATCAAAAACCTGAAAGGAGAAAGATATTTACAGGAAACATCATGGCGATCAACTCTTTATGATAAAGGTATTCTCCTAAAGTGTGCAGTTAACGTTGAACATCTGCTGTTACAAGAGATGGTGATAACCCCTGAATTAAATGGTTTTTACAAGTCGCTGGATAAATTTATCCAGGTTGCCGCATTGGACTAGAACAGAGTATTGCTGCTGCCTTTCCTTAAAGGCTTTCCAGAAGCATCCAGCTGGAAATAGAGATCCAAGATCTCCAGAGATGCTGAGCTGCAACCCCTTTGTTACAAGTCCAAAATCTCTGGAAGGCCCTAGGGTTGTGAAAAAGCTAAAGCACACCTTCAGTTTGATTCAACTTGGCCATCAGGGAAGGGGAAGATCTTTACATCTTTGCCCCTCAGTGCATTTCCAGCCTCACCTTCGCTCTTGCTTGAGCTGCAGTGTAATTCTCTGGACTTGATGCAGCCGGTTTAACATCCTCTCATTTACCTGTAACAGGGATCAGAGGGATACATTACAATTTCTGCTCTCTTTAGTAGCTTCACCCAGTGTCGTCTCTCACAGACTCAGCTTAAGATGACATACAGCTAGCACTGTCCATGATCCCCAGTTTCTTTCCTCTTGCACATTTAAAGGTGGCATTATATGGTAGATG